GAACAACCCACGGCACCGGGCGAACGTAGGAGCGTTCCCCCGAGGGAGCGTGAGGGGGCGGCTGCAGGCTGGCAAATACTCGCGAGTTTTAAGCCGTTCTAAATGAAGGTCTGAAGGGGAAGCCGGTTTTCCGCCGCTTTAAAACCGCTCTCTTGGCTTTGTTAAGCGTGAAATATCACTTATTAATAGCAATAGTCAGTTCTTTTCCCCTCTCCTTTTTCCCCTCAGTGCGTTTTTACACGGCCTCTGGGCGCCGGACGGGGTTGTTTGTTGAGGAACTCGTACATTTCATACAAAGTTTCAACCTGAGGAAAATATTTGTGGTATAAAAGTATAATCCTCTGTTGGGAGAAAAGGGAAGAAGAAAAAAAAAAAAGAGGCTGGTGAGCAAGCAATACACACACTCTCAAGCACTCATTTTTCTGATGTTAACGCCACCCGTCAGAAGAAGGCGGCGCAGGCCGGAGGAGCCATCACCAGCTGCATCCCGCTCGGGATGTCAAAAACAGCAGCCGGTATTCCAGCAAACCGCACAGCGAGGTTCGCAAGGGCTCGAAGTCGAGGGGGAAGAGTCCAGTGCCCGCAGCGTTCGTCTCCCGTGGGCACACCTCTGGCAGTTTGCGGCATTGGGGTGCTGAGCGTGCCATGTGGCACGTACCGGATAAAAAAAAAAAAACACAAAAAACCTCACCCGTATTTGCATGGACCTGTTTAGCACAGAGCTGATCTCAAGTGTAAAATTACACCTGTGACGTAACGGCTTTTACTTCACCAGTGTTACAAGCGGCTTCCAGGATGACTAAAAGCGTAGAGGGGAAAAAAAATATTTCCTTTGTTTGTTTCTGTTTTATTTATTTCATCATCTGGAGACCTTTGCAAAATTGGTGGTGTTCCCCTTTACACTCGGTTTCCTCTGTTTCTGATTGAATAATCAAGGAGGTGAAGGTATGCACACAAAAAAAAAAAAATCGAAAAACAAAAAAAAAAGAAGTAGATGAGGGAGCCAAGCCTGCAATTTGTCCGAGGGAGCCAGGTTCGTGGAGAACTGTCGAGGCTGGTCCTTCATAAAAGGATCGAATCAAATAAAGGCACCGAAATAAACCCGTTTTGTTTGTGCGCACCGCGCTCCACTGTGCGGAGCTCCCTCTGGAGGCCGCTGCCTCTGCGGAGTTCTTCCAAAGAGCCCAGGTTTCATCGCACCGTGGGTCTTCCTCCCCTGGGGGTGGTCAGGCTGGAGTCCACATCTCCCTGCTGGCTAAGGGCTGCCCTAGGCAGGCCCATGGCGAGGTTTGACCTTCTCCAGAAGAACATGTAGCTTGCCATTTCCTCGATGGGTTAGGTCATCCAGAAATCAGGTCTAAAGATAGCCAGGGATGCCAAAATCTGCAGCTCATCTTGATTTCCAAAGCGCTTCTCCTCTCCCCCAAGCAGCTGAACAGCAGTTCGGTGTCAAGAACCACACGGGCCAATATGTGGTGAGGTCTCCTGAATGTTGTGGTAATACAAGTTGTTATTCATAAGAGTTATCTCCACAAAGGAAGACAGGGCAGCTGGCAGCTTTCACCTGCTCTGTGAACCCTCTTCCAGGAGGTATTTTCCCCTCCCAGTCCTTCCGTAGGTATCATTGGTAGCCTGCTGCTCCAGTGGGCCATGGCACAGACCTCTTACCAGGGCTGTGCAGAGGTAGTGGTGGTTTATGTCTCGTCAGTCCTGCCTGTTGTCAGAGCTTTTCACCAGTATGGCAACCTGAGGAGGGGAGGAAAGCTAGCCGCGGAGCACACCGCTGCAGGAAAACTGCCCGCATGGGCCACAAGTCTATGCCCCAGGGACCTGGGCCAGAAAGCTGGTGTGAGTAGAGAAAATCCTTCTGCGTGACCACTGATGTCTCTGCGTTGCTCTAGAAGCAATTAACTTTTCTGTATTTTTTTCTTTTTTGCCCTTTACCATGTTAGGGAAGAGCTTTTCAGAGGGGCTCAGCTGGGGATTAGCCAGCCAAGGTGATGTCCTGCTACCTCCCACAGAAGCAGTATTTCTACATGGTGTCCTTTGCAGCAAATCCAGCACGAAGCTCACCCCTAGCGCACTTCAGGCTTCGTTTCTCACGGCTTACAACCTGCCGGGGTGTCCTGGTTGCCCCAGATCCACCCTGGTTACATCAGCTGCTCTGCCAGGCTCTTGTGCTTCTCTACAGGTGACGTTTGAATCAGATGAGTGGTCTAAAAAAAATTCCCGCTGCAGGTCCAATATGCTTCTGCTGCCTGCGTAAAGCCTTTTAAACTCATAGCTGAGTGCGAGGCTCAGTCACGTTGTATTCCTCTGCATATTTTATAACGAGCTCTGCTTGAGAAAATGTAGACACTGCTTGGTGCTCAAATTCATTGCAGAAAATGACAGAGGAGCACTCTACTCCCTCTGAAGGTATTTATTTCTTTTTTTATAAAACCAGGGCTTATTTGAGGACAAATTAAAAATAGCCTTGCAAGTTACTCTGAGCTTTAATCTCCCATGTGATGTTGCATCATACATGATGAGAAGGAAATTCCTTCAGGCTCTAAATAAACCTATTATCATTTAATCTCTAATGGGTTATTCTGAAATCCAAACAGAACACATCTTTTGTGCATTTGCACAGCAACAAAGATCACTCCGGATTTCCAAGCCCTAGCAGAGGCTTAGAAAAGCATAAAAAAGGAAACAAGCAGCCAGGAGCAGGCTGGAGAAGAGCAGCAGGCTAAGCTGCTGTGACAGACAGCTGTGAAGGTGTGGCAGCATCGGGCAGGCATGGGATGGGGACCCTCCGGCTCGATAGTGACAACACCTTGGGCTTCTGCCACTTCCCTCTTTCCACAAAAATACACCTGCAGCAGGATGGTGCCTTTCCCAGAGGATGCAAGCGTCCCTGTGGTGTCCTGTCTGCCCCAGGTGGGCGAGGGGGACAGGGGTTAGCTCTGCACGGGCCACATGTCCCCTCGCATCCCTTAGCCGGCAGCTGGCATCCTCTGAGGTGCTAGTTGCCCTCTGCCCATCACCGCTGCCACGCTGCCCTGGCCCTTGAGGCGAGTGCTTGAAGTTTTTCTTCACTAATAACTATACTGTAACTTAAAAAGGAAGCTTTCTTTTTCTTAATATGTAACAACATCCACTTTACTGAGCTGGAAATTCATAAACAATGCCTATGTTTTTCCTAGGAAACATCTACTTTCCTAAAGGAAAAAAAAAGCACTAGCCCAACAGTCACTTCTAAAAAAGGTTTATATAGTTTACTGGCATTTCAAAGAGGTGGCCTCCCCAGTCCAAGAGGGTGTGTATGTGGTACCCGACACAAAGTCAAGATGGAACAGGAGGTAAATATTGCTGTTTTCTTCTCGCCCTCAATTTTTAAATTCATCTGAAGCACCAAATGTGAAAGACCTTGACTTGTTCAGCCTATGCAATGCACCTATTTGAAATACACTTACCTTTGACTCTCTTGTGAACGGCTTCCTGCGTCAATGAGGATAGAAAACACAGATACACTGTTAAGCACAGGCAGCTGCATTAACGAAGGAAGAACACAACTACAGGTGTGCAAATTTAATCAACCGTCATTTAATTCAATACAGTAGAAGTTGTCTTTACATACGTATGTCCACGGACACATTTAACACACCAAAGGAAAGAAGAGAGGACTGCTGAAAAATCATGATTGTTCTCTCTCTCTATTTTTACACAAAGCAAAATATACAGAAAAATACACATCCTGCCTTAACGTCCTACCTGACATTGTCAATATGCTGCCACAATGACAATGAGCTTCCAGCAGCCCTGCAAGCCTCATGTGCACGGGGTTCTGTAGACAGAGCTGTTCTGCAAGCCTAAAATTTTGCTTAATTGCCAAACATCTTAGAAGACATAAAGAAACATGACAAATATCACAGTGTTATCACATTAAATAATAAAAAGTCCATTAACGCTTTACAAATACAGCTTTTGACAAAGTCTAGGAATGATCAAATCCTCATCCTAAGAAAATCTCTCAGATGCGTCAAAGGCCACATTCAGGTAAGCACAGACTGCTGTTTCAATCCACAGTTTCCAGGAACACATCTCCTTAGCGTTAGCAGGTCCCCAAGAGAATCCTTAAATAATACAGAGGAAAACTTTACCCTCACTTCCTCTTACAAGGATGACTGCTTAGCATATACTGGCTGTATGCTTGGTAACATGCAAATCACAGAATCCCTGCTGCTGAAAGCTCGTCAACTAAACAAGACCAGCACAGGGTAGACAGGATGGGCATATATGTAAACAAACTTACTTATCAGCTTGCTTCTTGGAAGCATGTTAAATAGGATTCTTCTTTCCCAACTTTATAATCCAATGATCAGGTATCCGGCCAAAACTCATTTTTAGAATCAATATAAAATCTCAGTGAATATACACACTCAAGTGCTTATGAAGTGCAGTAAACATAAGGCAGGGTAGAAACCAGTAAACTGAAGTTATTAAGCGAAAAATAAGACAAATGAAACAAAGACTTGTTTTCTTATTTTTTGCTTTAAAGTGCGCCTGACCAAGAATTAGGGCAAGGAAAAAGTTCCCTTATGCTCTATGGCATAGAGCAGTTTTGTCCTGAGTATTTTTTTACTGCTGTATCTGGGGAGGACCAAAGTGCGGTAGCAGGTACTGGCAAAAGGATAGAACTCATCTGGATTTTCTGCTTTATGTTCTGCAATAGTAAATGTAAAATATTCCAGTCCGTATCCAGGGATTCGATCAGATCCTGTCAAAAAAGCTGGAAGGGGAAAAAGAAAAACAAAACCAAGTTAGCAAATTAAAAAAAAAACCAAACACAAGAGAATGTTATCAGAGGATGAAAATCATGAGGGAAAAATAGTGTAAAAACAGGGCTATTTCCATAAGCTAATGATTATGCTTTGTTGAATTTGCACCTGAATATAACAAATTCTCTTCCTGATTCATAATTATAAGTGCTCTTGTACTTTTATTTATATAGACTTTGTGGATGAGAAAGGCCAGGCTAGGTTTTACCTTCCGCATTTAAAAAGGATGAGCTAGTTTCTGCGATCCTTTGAGAAAGCTAAACTGCTTACAGCACCATAGTCTGTTCACACAAGTTGAGGCCTCAGACCAACAACTGATAACCACAAACGTAAAGGATCAAGTAATTGCAAGGTTCAGGGCGGTCAGATGCACTCAGGCAAGCCTCAAGGGATGTGAGAAGGGTCAGAACTGTGCCTGCGCAATTCTTTGTGTTACCACTTTGTGGCAGGAGTGGGTTGGAGGGAAACATGTCCAAAAGTAGTTTGGAACTATAGTATTGTTCATGTGCAAGCATCTAAAATGACTGTTGTGGGGGAGAGAAAAGGGCTACAAAAAGTTTAAAATGCCTGATACATTACCAAAAAACATTTTCTTTTTTTCTTCTGGGAGTTTGTAAAACACAGTCCAAAAATTCCTGATGGTTTTATCTAACTTTTTGTACTCGCTGTACTTCACATTCTGTCAAAGAGGTAAAAATAAAACTGGCCAGTTAATTCTCACTATTTCCATTTTTATTTAAAACAACAACAGTTTATCCAGTAAATTTGATAATACTGTTCATAGATATTAAAATCCTCTTAACCTCTGGAATCTGTTTGTTCATTTGTCTTTCAAAGACTCATATGACAGTCCCTGATTTTTAGTCCCCTTTATTCTTCTACCTGCTGTAGATTAGAAACTGACTCAAAACAAGAACACAAATCAAGAAAAGAGAAAGTCCCTTGCGCTTCTGTTTTTCTGTTCATGACCTATGCACTCAAGAAAAGAACAGGTCAGAGAGAGTTTATGCTCAGCAGACATAGCAGAAGTACCCTGTGCTTGTATTCAATACCTCTTGCAGCAGACTCCAGTCGTATTTTTTGTGTCCCTGGAGAACAATCTGGAGCTCTGCAGGGAGAAACATCTTCCACTTTACAGCTGGGCAGCCTCTTAAAAACCCTTTCTTAAAGTCCTCAAATGGCTTCTGTATCGATTCATTGCACACATAATTCACATACAAGTCAACAAATTCCTTCCTGCAAAGATATTTTGAATGAAACAAGCGATGCAATAGGCGCTTTTTTTAAAAGAAGAATTATAGAGAACTTTATGCCTTTACTCTGTATGACCTGCTCTCCTGTATTTACCGAGAGCAGTCATCACTGGCAATTATTTATTCACTGAATGAGCTGGGAGGATCATCACAAAAAAAGGGAATGCTGGCCTATATGGATTCATTTTGATCATTCTCTTTGTACTTCACGTGAACTCTCAAATGAAATCCCATCAGACACTTCACTATAAAGATGGAACTTAGCAGACGTAAATGGTGTAAATTTGTCAAATCTCCCACTGAATGCCCAAGAATTACCCTGAAATCAAAATAAGTATTTGCACAGCTGCTAATCAGTACAGTTTCACTCTTCTATTTGTGATGGGGATTTACTTAGTGACGACGTACTTGTACAATCAATTCAATCTAAATGCTATACTTTAAGCTTCCTAAACAGCCATTTCGTGCATCCCTGTGGGTCCTCAGATCATCTGCGTAACTCAGGCCACAGAATTTCTCTCTGTTCCCTGTGCTGAGGGTAATATTGAAACAATACCTTATTGATAGACTGCTCCTCCTCTGTTACATATGAGATACATTCCATACATGTAACAAAGCAGGAAACATTTTGCTCGTAAAATAACCTCGTAGAGGTGTACCTATAGCTGAATTTCCCAGTCAAGTTGTCTGCATTTCCCTGAAAATATAGTTCAGGGGTATTTTATACATTTGCTAGGAATTTCCCTGATAAGGCCAGGCATCTCTGTATATGCAGATGCCAGGATGTCCAAAGATCCCCTCCCTATCCACTGCTTGCACAAACTGCCGATGTCTAGCACATATGCAGCACATACAACAAAAACCAAAAGCATACAACCTACTGGACCAAGACCAACAGCACCAAGCTGATGTTCAATATTTTCTAAGTGTATGTGGGGATGGATATAGGTATGGTATTTCATCTGCTCATAACAAGACAATACAATAAGAAAAATAAAAATAAAACTGACCTGTTATCCCTAGTGACCGGAATGTTGGCACCATTTTCTTTAAGTTCAACAATGGAACCTCCTTCTATTATCTACACAAATAAATGAAAACATTAGATGCTATATCTACATATGACAGATAAGTATGTGCTACATCTATCATTCATTCTTTCTGTACAGCCTGACATAGCGCTCTTACTAGTTTGAGTTTACAGGCAAGTCGTGTCATTTGCAGTGGGAGATTGTCTTGCCTGAGTCTGCATGGCACGTCTGAACGGCATAATAATGTCTTACCGTGAATTCCCTGTCCAGGCTCTCAGGGTCATAACCAGATTCTTCATCCAAAATTCCCTGAAGTGTCCTTTCAAAAAACAAAGAGAAAAAAAGAGAGAAGAAACATGACCATCCAATGCACTTTCAAATTCTGCTGAAAACTATCCTTGGACAGACAGTATTTAAATTCATATACATACAGAACACCTATACTCACATAGATCTTCCTATATGGCCCTAAACTGATGTGTACACTTATGTGTGTTGCCATAAGCTGAGGGCAAATGCTTTCACCACGAAGGATTCCAGGAAAGTCCATCCCCATGCCCTGTGGGAATAACTTTACACAAAGTTCTGTGGCAAGCAGGCTTGGACCATAGCTTTGTTCTTCCAAATATCATCTAGCGAGGAATTAAGTGTTGACCAGTGGGATGATCTGGTAGAACTGTTTTGGGGTGCAGCACCTCTCAAAGTATTGCTGGCAACCTGATGTTTCAGCCCACTTCAATAATCACTGGCTCGTGGGAAGGGGCTCTCATCTTCTTGGCTGTTTATAGCACTTGTGTAGAAAGCTGGGCTTCAGGGGCCTAGAAGCTTTACATTGGTGACCTCTTGCTGCTCTATCTGCCTGAAATCTCCTTTCCCAGCGTGTGGAAACACCGCATATGGGTTCTCAGATTTGGCATAACCGCAGCATATGGTAATATTGTTCTTGTGCATATCATTGTGGAAACTGGTAATTGGTAAATCAGAAAATACCCCAACATTAGTAATGAGGTTCTCAGTTCTTCCAAATCTGAACTACAGCTCAAAGTGGTTTTGAACTATATATTCACAGCGTGGACTTAACTTCACGTAGAGCAGAAATCTGAGCCCTTCTAAGCCATGGGGCTTAGCTTCGTATTTTGGTGATGCCAGCCTCTGTTCAAGAGCAACATCCGTGCCCCAGACAAGGATCACCTTGGAAGTCTGTGGCTTTTAGCAGCTCTGCAACAGCAAACGTAGCTGTCATGGATACCCCAAATACGGCCTTGGGGATCTCTGCACATCGTCAAGCGAGGAGACCCCCCGCTGTAGCTTCTTGCCTCAGCCTGGCTCATACCGGCCTACATCTGGCAACAGCTCCTTGAGGTCCTCCAGGGTGGGTGCCAGGCCCAGCAGCTTCTTGTAGAGAGCCAAGGGGAAGGGGAAGGGCGCCAGGCAGCCGTTATACAGGGCCATTCCACACAGTGTCCCGATCCGGAAGAAAGTGTCATCGCAGCTCGACACCTGGTTAGAAACAAACACATTTACAAAAATCCATGTCTGCCTTTCCCTGGAGCAATCCCTCTGCCTCCCCGGCCTGGCGCCTTACCTGGCTGGGGAACCACATTAGGCCAGAGGGGAGGAGGTGGAAAGCCCCGCTGCTGGACTGGCAGAGGCTCCTGGTGGCGACACTGAAGAGATCCTGCGCTGGCCCGCCTTCGTCCACTCCTGCCTCTCCTATGAACGCCACCTGCGAGACCCGAGGCACCCATAGCGACTG